CGAGAGAACAAACCGAGAAGAACAAACCGACGAGAACAAAACCGACGAGAACAAACGAGAAGAACAAACCGAGAAGAACGAAAGGAGAAACAAACGACGAGAACAAACCGACGAGAACCAAACAAACGAGCGACGAGAACAAACCGATGAGAACAAACCGACGAGAACAAACCGAGAAGAACAAACCAACGAGAACAAACCGACAGAACAAACCGACGAGAACAAACTGAGAAGAACAAACCAACGAGAACAAACCGAGAAAGAACAAACGACGAGAGAACAAACCGACGAGAACAAACCGAGAAGAACAAACCGACGAGAACAAACCAACGAGAACAAACCGAGAAGAACAAACCGAGAAGAACAAACCGACGAGAACAAACCGACGAGAACAAACCGATGAGAACAAACGACGAGAAACAAAACCGAGAAGAACAAACCAACGAGAACAAACCGACAAGAACAAACTGAGAAGAACAAACCAACGAGAACAAACCGAGAAGAACAAACCGACGAGAACAAACCGACGAGAACAAACCGAGAAGAACAAACCGAGAAACAAACCGACGAGAACAAACCGACGAGAACAAACCGACGAGAACAAACCGAGAAGAACAAACCGACGAGAACAAACCGACGAGAACAAACCGAGAAGAACAAACCGACGAGAACAAACCGACGAGAACAAACCGACGAGAACAAATCGACGAGAACAAACTGAAGTTCAGAACATCAGGTGTGTGTAGATAAAAGATTTTCTTTTTTTAAGTGTAAGCGGTCACCTGTCAGTCACCTGTCAGTCACCTGTCAGTCACCTGTCAGTCACCTGTCAGTCACCTGTCAGTCACCCAGTCCAGATCCACTCGTCTGTGTGTGTGTGTGTGTGTGTGTGTGTGTGTGTACAGTTGTGTGTACAGTTGTGTGTGTGTATAGTTGTGTACAGTTGTGTGTACAGTTGTGTGTACAGTTGTGTGTGTGTATAGTTGTGTGTAGTTGTGTGTACAGTTGTGTGTACAGTTGTGTGTAGTTGTGTGTACAGTTGTGTGTATAGTTGGTGTATAGTTGTGTGTGTGTACAGTTGTGTGTACAGTTGTGTACAGTTGTGTGTACAGTTGTGTGTATAGTTGTGTGTGTGTATAGTTGTGTGTACAGTTGTGTGAATAGTTGTGTTATAGTTGTGTGTGTGTGTACAGTTGTGTGTACAGTGTGTGTATAGTTGTGTTATAGTTGTGTGTGTGTAGTTGTGTGTAGTTGTGTGTACAGTTGTGTGTACAGTTGTGTGTAGTTGTGTAGTTGTGTGTACAGTTGTGTGTACAGTTGTGTGTACAGTTGTGTGTACAGTTGTGTGTGTGTATAGTTGTGTTGTGTGTGTACAGTTGTGTGTATAGTTGTGTGTACAGTTGTGTGTAGTTGTGTGTACAGTTGTGTGTACAGTTGTGTGTACAGTTGTGTGTGTGTATAGTTGTGTGTACAGTTGTGTGTAGTTGTGTGTGTTACAGTTGTGTGTATAGTGTGTTAGTTGTGTTGTGTGTACAGTTGTGTGTAGTTGTGTGTAGTTGTGTGTACAGTGTGTAGTTGTGTGTACATTGTGTGTACAGTGTGTGTACAGTTGTGTGTACAGTTGTTGTGTGTATAGTTGTGTGTACAGTGTGTGTGTGTAGTTGTGTGTACAGTTGTGTGTACAGTTGTGTACAGTTGTGTGTATAGTTGTGTGTACAGTTGTGTGTGTGTGTGTGTGTACAGTTGTGTGTACAGTTGTGTGTACAGTTGTGTGTATAGTTGTGTGTACAGTTGTGTGTATAGTGTGTGTACAGTGTGTACAGTGTGTACAGTTTGTGTGTACAGTTGTGTGTACAGTTGTGTGTGTACAGTTGTGTTGTGTGTATAGTTGTGTGTAATAGTGTGTGTGTGTGTGTACAGTTGTGTTACAGTTGTGTGTATACAGTTGTGTGTACAGTTGTGTGTATAGTTGTGTGTACAGTTGTGTGTACAGTTTGTGTACAGTTGTGTACAGTTGTGTGTATAGTTGTGTGTGTGTTGTGTGTACAGTTGTGTGTATAGTTGTGTGTACAGTTGTGTGTACAGTTGTGTGTACAGTTGTGTGTGTGTATAGTTGTGTGTACAGTTGTGTGTAGTTGTGTGTATAGTTGTGTACAGTTGTGTGTACAGTTGTGTGTACAGTTGTGTGTGTGTATAGTTGTGTGTACAGTTGTATGTACAGTTGTGTGTACAGTTGTGTGTACAGTTGTGTGTGTGTATAGTTGTGTGTACAGTTGTGTGTGTGTATAGTTGTGTGTATGTACAGTTGTGTGTATAGTTGTGTTATAGTTGTGTGTGTGTACAGTTGTGTGTACAGTTGTGTGTGTGTACAGTTGTGTATAGTTGTGTGTACAGTTGTGTGTGTGTACAGTTGTGTTATAGTTGTGTGTACAGTTTGTGTGTACAGTGTGTACAGTGTGTGTGTGTGTGTGTACAGTTGTGTGTACAGTTGTGTGTACAGTTGTGTGTTGTGTACAGTTGTGTGTATATTGTGTGTTGTGTGTATGTTGTGTGTACAGTTGTGTGTAGTTGTGTGTAGTTGTGTGTACAGTTGTGTGTGTGTACAGTTGTGTATAGTTGTGTGTACAGTTGTGTATAGTTGTGTGTACATGTGTCAGTTGTGTGTACGTTGTGTGTGTGTGTACAGTTGTGTGTGTGTACAGTTGTGTGTGTGTACAGTTGTGTGTACAGTTGTGTGTGTGTATAGTTGTGTGTACAGTTGTGTGTACAGTTGTGTGTAGTTGTGTGTACAGTTGTGTGTACAGTTGTGTGTAGTTGTTTGTACAGTTGTGTGTACAGTTGTGTGTACAGTTGTGTGTACAGTTGTGTGTACAGTTGTGTGTGTGTATAGTTGTGTACAGTTGTGTGTATAGTTGTGTGTACAGTTGTGTGTACAGTTGTGTGTATAGTTGTGTACAGTTGTGTGTAGTTGTGTTATAGTTGTGTACAGTTGTGTTATAGTTGTGTGTGTACAGTTGTTATAGTTGTGTGTGTATAGTTGTGTGTGTACAGTTGTGTTATAGTTGTGTGTGTGTACAGTTGTGTTACAGTTGTGTTATAGTTGTGTACAGTTGTGTGTAGTTGTGTGTACAGTTGTGTTATAGTTGTGTACAGTTGTTATAGTTGTGTGTGTATAGTTGTGTGTGTACAGTTGTGTTATAGTTGTGTGTGTGTACAGTTGTGTACAGTTGTGTGTAGTTGTGTGTACAGTTGTGTTACAGTTGTGTGTATAGTTGTGTGTATAGTTGTGTGTGTGTACAGTTGTGTACAGTTGTGTATAGTTGTGTGTAGTTGTGTTACAGTTGTGTACAGTTGTGTGTACAGTTGTGTGTAGTTGTGTGTAGTTGTGTTACAGTTGTGTACAGTTGTGTACAGTTGTGTACAGTTGTGTGTGTACAGTTGTGTGTACAGTTGTGTGTACAGTTGTGTGTACAGTTGTGTGTACAGTTGTGTACAGTTGTGTACAGTTGTGTTATAGTTGTGTGTGTGTACAGTTGTGTTATAGTTGTGTACAGTTGTGTTATAGTTGTGTACAGTTGTGTACAGTTGTGTGTACAGTTGTGTACAGTTGTGTACAGTTGTGTTATAGTTGTGTGTGTGTACAGTTGTGTTATAGTTGTGTACAGTTGTGTTATAGTTGTGTACAGTTGTGTACAGTTGTGTTACAGTTGTGTACAGTTGTGTACAGTTGTGTACAGTTGTGTTATAGTTGTGTACAGTTGTGTGTACAGTTGTGTGTGTGTGTACAGTTGTGTACAGTTGTGTACAGTTGTGTGTACAGTTGTGTACAGTTGTGTTTATAGTGTGTACAGTTTGTGTAGTTGTGTGTAGTTGTGTGTTACAGTTGTGTACAGTGTGTTGTGTACAGTTGTGTTACAGTTGTGTACAGTTGTGTGTTGTGTGTGTGTGTACAGTTGTGTGTACAGTTGTGTTATAGTTGTGTGTGTGTACAGTTGTGTGTATAGTTGTGTACAGTGTACAGTTGTGTACAGTTGTGTGTACAGTTGTGTGTACAGTTGTGTGTACAGTTGTGTGTGTGTACAGTTGTGTGTAGTTGTGTTACAGTTGTGTACAGTTGTGTACAGTTGTGTGTACAGTTGTGTACAGTTGTGTACAGTTGTGTTATAGTTGTGTACAGTTGTGTGTATGTTGTGTGTACAGTTGTGTACAGTTGTGTACAGTTGTGTGTTACAGTTGTGTTACAGTTGTGTACAGTTGTGTGTAGTTGTGTGTACAGTTGTGTGTACAGTTGTGTTATAGTTGTGTGTGTGTACAGTTGTGTTATAGTTGTGTACAGTTGTGTGTAGTTGTGTGTACAGTTGTGTGTACAGTTGTGTGTACAGTGTGTGTACAGTTGTGTAGTTGTGTACAGTTGTGTGTACAGTTGTGTACAGTTGTGTACAGTTGTGTTATAGTTGTGTACAGTTGTGTGTAGTTGTGTGTACAGTTGTGTACAGTTTGTGTACAGTGTGTGTGTTACAGTTGTGTTACAGTTGTGTACAGTTGTGTGTAGTTGTGTGTACAGTTGTGTGTAGTTGTGTTACAGTTGTGTACAGTTGTGTACCTGTTCCTTGAGTTCGGCGAGTTGGCTGGACAGTTGTGTGTATAGTTGTGTGTACAGTTGTGTGTGTGTATAGTTGTGTGTAGTTGTGTGTAGTTGTGTTACAGTTGTGTACAGTTGTGTGTACAGTTGTGTGTAGTTGTGTGTACAGTTGTGTACAGTTGTGTACAGTTGTGTACCTGTTCCTTGAGTTCGGCGAGTTGGCTGGACAGTTGTGTTATAGTTGTGTACAGTTGTGTGTAACAGTTGTGTGTAGTTGTGTTACAGTTGTGTACAGTTGTGTACCTGTTCCTTGAGTTCGGCGAGTTGGCTGGACAGTTGTGTTATAGTTGTGTACAGTTTGTGTGTAGTTGTGTTACAGTTGTGTGTAGTTGTGTTACAGTTGTGTACAGTTGTGTACCTGTTCCTTGAGTTCGGCGAGTTGGCTGGACAGTTGAGCCACCAGAGTCACGGTGCTGTCGAGTTTGTCCTGGAGGCAGCGCATCTCGTTCTGTTCACTGTCGCCCTCGCTGCTCACCAGAGACATGGCCCTCATCCTCGGAAACCACTCCAGGTTCTTCTCCTGCACAGACGACAGGGGCAGATGTGACAGGGGCAGATGTGACAGGGGCAGATGTGACAGGGGCAGATGTGACAGGGGCAGATGTGTAGCAGGTTAAATGGCTCATATTACTCTTTTTTTTTTTCGTTTTTGTCGTCAAAAACAAACCTGGAGTTGTGTTTTGTTTCTTTCACATGTTTAATCTGAGCTTTAATTCTTTTATTTTGAACTACAACAAGAGAGAAGATTTTTCAGTTGTTGAAAATCAAACTCCTGAACAGGACCATGAACACTCCGACTGATCACAGGAAAATGAAAATAAGTTTTTATACGATCTTAAAACTTTTTGGAGTGTTTGTTCATGTGTGCAATCTGTACGATCAGGGAAATGCCCGGTGGGTCAGTTCACATCTGGGCCAGTGGGGGCCGGCCCCACCCCCCGTCTTTAATTTGAGCTGGTCTGAAATGCACACACCCCCCACCTCCAGGCCCAGGCCCAGATATCAACAGGCCCATTATAAATGCACCAAAACAAGTTTGACAGTGTGTTGTTGTGTTCAATGTGTGAAGAACTTGTGGAAAGGGTGTCGCTTGTATTTCAGCTTTATAGATGCATCAAGAATCTCAGAAACTTCCGGTCATTGTGCAATTCATACTGGGAAGATTTTACGAAAAGTGAGCATCAAACCTGTATTTTATTTTCCTGTTTGTAAAATGTTAAAACTAATTGTTGGTTTAATAAAAACACAAATAAACAACGAGGAAAAGGTTTTGCATTTTGTTCCCAAACTGAACCGAAAATGAACGAACTGTGACCTCAAACCCGAGATACGAACAGAACCGTGATTTTTGTGAACAGTTCCTCATGAACTTTTTGCCACACACATTAGGGTGAATCATTTGGCCAACTTTTTGAAAAATTTTTGAAAATCAGTCTGTACCTAGAATACATTTTTCACACTTGCCAAAGTAAAGTTCCATGAGAAATTTCATGAAATTCTCTTGATGTTTACTGGGTCCACCAAGACTGAAGTTTAGTGCCTTAAACCTGAGCTGAAAAATCTGTTTTTCTTTAATAACATAAAAAATAATAAATTTTGCCCAATAGTATCAATAGAAGTTGAATATAAAAATGAACATTGTGGATCATTTGGTGCAGGTTTTATGTCTCTATCCATTAGTTTCTTAGATTTGGCAAAAATGTAATTTCTTTGGGACTTGAAGGACCTTGAATAAGCAATTATAAAAAAATATATATATATAAATATGTAATAAAAATTATAAAATAATTGTATTATTTTAATAATAAACATTAATATTATAAATAATAATAATAATAATATATATATATATATATATATATATATATATATATATATATATATATTTTTTTTTTTTTATATTTTTTATTTGAGAAAAACTGATGTTTATGCCAGAGCTTTATGGACACCATTAGGATGGAACTTCAGAGTCTTGATGAGTTTGGTAAATATTCCATAGATTTTATTTTAATTGGTTTTGTCACATTTTAAAATTGGGTTCAAGTTGGATTCCTGACATTGGGAAAAAATGATGCTCCCTAATACACACACACACATACACATACACATACATACACACACACACACATACACATACATACACACACACATACATAGATACACACACATACACACCCCCACACACACACATACATAGATACACACAGACACACACATACACACACACACACACACACACACACACACACACACACACACATACATAGATACACACAGACACACACATACATACACACACACACACACACACACACACTCCCCCGGCCCGATGTCCCTGCACAGTACGAGTTGTTTTCAGTGTCCATATTTTGCACTGTTCATATAAAAAGAAACAGTGTGAATGAAAACCTGTCATGTTTTTGAAACAGAACCTAAACACTCCAAAACATCTTTTCTTGCAGAAGTGGGGCAGCGGTGGCTTAGTGATCCAGCGCTCGCCCACGTACGGAAACACTGGCGCTTCTATTCTTGCACATTTTCTTAACACCAAACAAAACGTTCGCCGGCGCCTCCTTCCTCGTTCGGCGTCCTGACAGTTTGACGCAGCTCACCGCGGGCCTGTCCCCCGGACGCGCCGCGCCGCAATTAAACACTGAACCGAAGAGGAAGTGCAGCCCGAGCCCACGAGCCCACGAGCCCACCCCCCCTTTCCACAGACCCGGCGTTAATGCGAAGAGTGAGTCACGCCGGCCGCCGGGAGACGAGTGTAATTAGCCCCGGCGTATGCTCCCGCGCTCGCTCTTTACTGCTCGGAGGACAGGGCCGCACCAGCCGCTCGTATAAAGCCTTACGTAAGAGTCTTGAGTGTGTTTGTTGGCGCGTGGGCGTCCGTTCCGCCGGGGGTGAGAGCCGGTGTCGTTTATAACATGCATACGTCGAACAGAGCGCGGGGACGATATCTGATGTTACGTAACGACGGTCGCGCTGATAAAAACACGGAAAAAAACAGAAAACACGGCTCAGAGCAGAAACACCGTGTAATATTACCTCCTGTTACATAAGGACAGGACGACTCCAGGTGTCGAATGAACTACTGTCCGATTAGTCTGGGCTTTAAACCACAAACTTAACCCTGGAGATTTGGTGTTTAACTAAACCTTTCTAGATCTAAGAGCAATTTTAGTGCATTGTTTTCTTAATTTTGCGTTTAAACTCCCCCTTTTACCCCCTAATGAAGTGTTAGACATCGTTTATTTCACAATCTGCTGCTGTAGTTGTGTCATATGCTGAAAAAAAAAAAAAAAAACCTACAGAACCAGAAATACAAACAAACAAACAAAAAAAAAAACCCACAACAAACATGTATAAACAACTTTTTGGACATAAACAAAGCTTAATTTAGGTACAAAAGTGCAAAATATCAAGTGTGTAAGTAAAAGGACTAACAACCGGACTACAGGACCGGGACTACAGGACCCGGACTACAGGACCGGGACTACAGGACCGGGACTACAGGACCGGGACTACAGGACCGGGACTACAGGACCGGGACTACAGGACCGGGACTACAGGACCGGGACTACAGGACCGGGACTACAGGACCCGGACTACAGGACTTTATTTTCTTAAGGCCACCAAGTGTTTATAACAGGACTCTCCAAACTTTTACCTAGTGTTGTAGTACTCGAGACCGGTCTTAGTCTCAAAACCGGCCTAGAGACCGTTTTTTACGGTCTCGTCTCCGACTCGACTGCGTTTGGACTCGGTCTAGTCTTGGACTCGACCGTGTTTGGACTTGGTCTAGTCTCGGACTCGACCGCGTTTGGACTCGGTCTAGTCTCGGACTCGACCGCGTTTGGACTCGGTCTAGTCTCGGACTCGACCGCGTTTGGACTCGGTCTAGTCTCGGACTCGACCGCGTTTGGACTCGGTCTAGTCTCGGACTCGACCATGTTTGGACTCGGTCTAGTCTCGGACTCGACCGCGTTTGGACTCGGTCTAGTCTCGGACTCGACCGTGTTTGGACTTGGTCCAGTCTCGGACTCGACCGCGTTTGGACTCGGTCTAGTCTCGGACTCGACCGCGTTTGGACTCGGTCTAGTCTCGGACTCGACCACGTTTGGACTTGGTCTTGTTTCGGTCTCGAGGTCTGACACTCGACGAGTGATAAAATGGAGACAGATTTATAAAAACATTGATATATTTGTGCCCAAATTACTGTAAAATAGAAATAAATGTGGAAAATAACAAAGACGGTCTTGATTTGGTCTTGATTTGGTCTGGATTTGGTCTGGATTTGGTCTGGACGGGCCGTGGTCTCGGTCTCGGTCTCGTCTCAGGACCCTGTGGTCTCAGACTTTAAATTAAAACCTGTAATATAAAGTCATTTAAAATAAACACAACTACAACTTTTCTACCTGTAGTAAAGTGTTGGGAGTAACAGATTACATGTACTGGAGCTAAGTAATCAGAGTACAAATGATGAGTAACTGTATTCAGTTACAGTTACTGTTTCAGTGAGTGGTAATTGGATTACAGTTACTTTGTTGAAATAAACACGGCTGGATTTTCCTGTTTTCGCATTTTGGGCAAAATCCCCCCTTTTTTCTTTCTTTCTTTCGGTAATTCCACTCACTGCTGGAAACTAAACCAGGTCTAAACCAGGACTAAAACCAGGACTAAACCAGGTCTAAACTAGACCTAAACCAGGTCTAAACCAGGACTAAAACCAGGTCTAAACTAGATCTAAACCAGGTCTAAAACCAGATCTAAACTAGATCTAAACCAGGTCTAAAGTCTAAACCAGGACTAAAACAGGACTAAAACCAGGTCTAAAACCAGGTCTAAACCAGGACTAAAACCAGGTCTAAACTAGATCTAAACCAGGTCTAAACCAGGTCTAAACCAGGACTAAAACCAGGTCTAAACTAGACTAAACCAGGTCTAAACCAGGTCTAAACCAGGACTAAAACCAGGTCTAAACTAGGTAAACCAGGACTAAACCAGGTTTAAACCAGGTGTAAACCAGGTCTAAACCAGGTCTAAAACCAGGTCTAAACCAGGTCTAAAACCAGTCTAAACCAGGTCTAAAACCAGATCTAAACTAGATCTAAACCAGGTCTAAAGTCTAAACCAGGACTAAAACAGGACTAAAACAGGTCTAAAACCAGGTCTAAACCAGGACTAAAACCAGAACTAAACAGGTAAAACCAGGTCTAAACCAGTCTAAAACCAGGTCTAAAACCAGATCTAAACTAGACCTAAACCAGGTCTAAAGTCTAAACCAGGTTTAAACCAGGACTAAACCATGACTAAGACCAGGTCTAAACTAGTTTTAAACCAGATCTAAACCAGGACCTAGTCCTAGTCTTTGCGTCTCTACAGCAAATCAAGTAATCCAAAGTAATCAGATTACATTACTCACTTTAAGTAATTTAATGGATTACGTTACAAACTACATTTTGGGGGATGTAATCTGTAATCTGTAGGGGATTACATTTTAAAAGTAAACTTCCCAAC